GGTATCTATCAATTAGAGATCTAAACACGTTTTTACTTTACAAATCGCAGCTTTAATACAAAGTTAAAACAGGGTTGGGAAAGATTTACATATGCATCAAGGAACTGAAAGCTTTTTCTTTCAAGTCCTCAGGTCTTTAATCCAGAATCTGAGTTTGCCTCACCTTAATGGCGGCCTCCCTGAGAGCCTCAAGCCTCTGGCGGCTGCTTTCCTTCATGTTCGCCACATCACCAAAGTCGCCTTTCAGCACACGCTGAAGGCCCAGCACAGCCTGAAACAGGGAACGCTCACTCTCATTCAGCTCCTTCTGGAACACCTCGAGCGTGTGCACCTGGAAGAGGCGCTCAGCATCCGAGAGCGTCTGGTCACGCGCCGCCGCCGCGGCTGCTGCCTCCAGCTTCCTTATGGCGGCGTTCTTCTGCCGCAGAAGGCTCGAGAGGCGGCGGCAGTTCTCGGCCACCCAGCGGTGCCCGCTGGCAGATTGCACCCCCCTGCCACGATGGAGCTGAACGGCACTCCGGGCCAGGTGCTCAGACGGTTGCAGCGCCCCCACCAGACACAGCAGCGCATACAGGGTCTGCATTCAGCTGGCTGGTCTCGTCAGCTAGAGATGAAAGAAAAAAAATAGAAAAACCTGCAGGAATTGTGTCACACCCTCCACGGTGGGTACTTAAAAGCACTGCTAGGCAAAAAGTCCAATATTTTATTAGTCGATCAGTGAAGACGTTTGGTGTTTTGTACTCAAGCTTTGAAGCAAATGTAGTACTGGAAACAAAATCAAGATCTTTGCTGTATGTATGTACATATATACATACGGTTAAATAGCAGGGATAGTTCATCAAACTACACTTCCATCCTCCTAACTTTGCCATCAAACGTATCAAAAGTGCAGAATGATACCAAGGGCACTGTGGAAAGATGGCCAACCCATTATATTACAGCATTTCTCTATTTTTATAGATTACACTAAGTTAGACAGTGTCCTAAACCACATCAGCAAGTCAGCTCAACAATACCTAGGAACTACCATACGTTTACATAAAACAATTTGGGTGAGACAGACGTCCTTTATTTATCTGCCCTGATTTCTCACTGGGCTGCTTCATCTGCTCCATCAAAAGAAAGAAAGAAAATATTTACAGCAATGAAACAAATGTAAGTTATGCAAACATCCTGCAACGGCATAGGTGGCTAAACTGAGCTCACATAGGTGTGGCACGGTGCTGAGCTGTTCAAACAATAATATATAAATAAATAAAAACCCTGTTGTGTGACAAGAAGTTGTGCGACTCTGTATTTAAACATCACACCTGTCACACAACGGATAATTCCACTCCGGTAGGGCGTTAACCTGATAAGTGAGATATCCACTCAGTGGCGATTTTATTATGTAATCCTACTGTATAGGTGACTGTGTCCGTGCACTTTCACTGGCGTAAGTATGTTTGTTGCTATGCACAATTTGTCGTCCGCTCTCAATCACATCCGACGATGGAAAGGGACCGGATACTCAGCACAGAGGTGCATCGGTTTCTTCTTCGGTTACAATCTCCACCCAGCAACAGTCCTGTGCTCAAAAAACTGACTCCAGTGAAGGGCTAATGGATGATTAATGCATACTGTGCATGGAAAAGTTGAGCTTTAGTCACCAAACAAACAAGGTGAACTAACACGGTAAGAGTGAGGATACAGAGACTAATGTGACCTAACCACTTTCACTTCCTGCTCAAGTCTCACCTTTTCTTTAGTAGATAACAGCGCTTCAACACACACAGTACAGTCTCAGCATGCAAGAGTAGAAGTGTAATGAGTTATAATCCCTCTGTGTCAACCCTTTTTAGTCTGGTTCCTCTCCAGCATTCTTCCTCTTATTTTGTTGCTCGTTAGAGATCAACATCTACATCCAGAAGCTGCTTTGTGACCATTTTGTGACAGTGTGAAATATAATACAGGCACATTAGAACTGACTTGAATTTAATGGAAGTGAGCCTATATGGTAGATGTAGATTATAAAATGAGATTATAGTGATGCTCTGTTATGGGGACAAAAACATGCAACACACACACACACACACACACACACACACACACACAGAGTCACAAACAAACTGCAAATCCATCCATCCTCTGTACTGCTGATCCTCACACAGGGAGCCTGGAGCCTATCCCAGGGGACTTGGGGCACAGGGTGGGGGACACCCTGGACAACCCATTGCAGGACACAATCTCACACACTACAGACAATTTGGAAATGCCAATCAACCTACAACACGTATCTTTGGACTAGGGGAGGAAACCAGAGTACCCAGAGGAAAGCCCTGAAGCACAGGGAGAACATACAAACTCCACGCACATATATTCTACCATATATTCATTACATGGGATTCAGAACTGAACACTTTATCTTTGTAAATTGGCAGCACTCTTCAGTTGCCATACACTCATGGTAAGTACACACGTGACTCATGGGAAGCCCATACATCTGAGATGCCCTACTGCTTACCTGGAAGGACATCTGCTCCAAGCTAGTGCACACACACGGTCATAACCATGTGTCTTGTCTAAACTGTCCATTTCCATCACCTGATTTCCTGATCGCAGTCACGGGTGATCAGATCACGGACACGGCATCAGCTGTCATATGACTGACATCACTCATATCTCAAACCCGAGATTAAAGATCAGCGACAGAAGTAGATAAGGAAAGGAACATACCTTGGAGAATTTTTAGGTCGTCTCTGTAGCCCTGTGCTCCTCAGTTAATGAAGGAAACAATCAGGCTCTTGTGATTCCGCCCCTCTCCAGCCGCCACATACTAAACTCCTCTGTAGCTGAACCTGAGCGCCAGCGCCGTGACACCCACAGACCGGTTTGCGGCAGTCGTGACGCATTCACGTGCTCCTCGGATTTTTACTGTTTCCGAGTTGGTAAGCCGTAATTACAAATTCTTTTGGGGTTCAAAAACACTGCACCACTAACGTCACATAATCGGCTGTTTATTTTTGACTATCTATTTCAGCACTTATTTCAACATTCATTCATTTTGTAAAAAAAAAAAAAAAAAAAAAAAAACGTTCACAATGCAACCAAAGGTTATAACTGGGTTTATAACGTGATTACAAAAAGCATGATGTATTTATAAAAAATAAACTATTAAACACAATCTACAACTGAATCTATTCTTTTATACACTTGGTAAAAGTTACTAACAACTCCGCGCTCATGTACTGTACATAGTTCATGTTTGTTATTTATATGAAACCGTGGGAGCGCGTGAAGGCAGCACAGGAGCAGCTGAACCCGCTGTCGCTACACGTCACTGTTTTTCATTCCTACAGGTAGGTTAGAGTCTCCGCTTCCCAGTGACAAACCCGTGCTGTGTAACATTTACTAAATGGATAAAGTCAGAGAGCCTTTAGCTTTAGCTTTCATATCAGGAGAACTTCCGCTAAGCTAAGACGCGCTACAGAGTTTGTTTGTGTGTCAAATGCGAGTTTAACTCATGCTAACGGGAGCTCGCTAGCTTTCCTCAAGCACCAGAGCAGATGTTAGCTTTTCTCTAACTTTTCAGACATTCTGGACTCAATTTGTCGAGTGACATCACCTGTTGAAAATGCGCGTGCGTGTGTGTGATACATAATTTAGTTCGCTGGTTACTATACAGAAATGTTTTCACTTCCGAAACAAATCCAAACGAAAGCGGGACAGTAGTGCATTGTGGGTAATGTAGTTTCCCCGCACGGCGTCAGTTATTACTTAGTTAGTAATTATTTATTAAAATTTATATTAATGTTAGTTTAGTATCATATATTTATTTATTTATATATATATATATATATACGAGCTGTATTTAATTTAGCCCTGATTCTTAAACCTTTGTCGAACGTAAAAAAAAAATTAAATAAATGCTTTTTTTAAATATTTATTTAAAGATTAGTCGTAAAATATTATTAACCACAAAGTTATGAATTTGTGAAGATTTTAATCGACAACAGACTTGTGACTACAATAAAAATAAATAAATAAATAAATAAATAAATAAAATAAAAACACAACTCATAAAAAGCCCACTGGTGACGTCATCGCTACGTTCTCTAGCGCAGGCCCGGCAGAGTCCCGCGCATGCGCACTGCCGGCTGTTGCCTATCAAGTTGGTCAAACAGCGGGGAGATAAAAATGGTAGGTAAGATGGGGAAAAAAATACCGGTAAAGACAAACTTTGTATCCAGACAGGGACAGGGACAGAGAGAGAGAGAGAGGGAGAGAAGGAGGGAGAGAGAGAGATGTAGGGATATTATTTCACACGCCCGGGTGAGAGGAGGGTTTTGTATTTTAAGGGAGTTGTCCTCCGACCGTGTCGTATTGGCCAAGTGTGTGTGTGTGTGTGTGTGTGTGTGTGTGATGGATGAGAAGCAGAAGGTCAGTTTGTTGGTATTGTGAGCTCTGACAGCATGCACTCTTTCCTCCTTTCTGAGTGTGACGCCTATGCAGAGTTAGTCGTGAGTGTGTGTCTGAGTGTGTGTGTGTGTGTGTGAGTGTATGAGTGTATGATAGTGAAGCTGGGCGGGTCAATGGTCAGAACCGGGACAATTTCTCCTGATCCCTCTGTCAGGCTTAAAAACACTCACCAGGTGATCAGCCTTCACTGCTGCTTCTGTCCTGCTGATCTGATACATTTCTCCTGAGCATTCAGACACCTCGATCATCACGACTCTAATGTGTGTTTATTGGTTGATCCTGTCTTTTTGGACACAGGTGTGCTGTCAGTGTGATGATGATGATGATGATGATGAACAACACCTTTTCAAATCTGATTGTCATCAAAAGAACACACCTGTCAGATTCTTCTTTCAGCTTCTCCCCACAGCGGATCATTGGTCCGCATATTTGATTAGGCGCAGTGTGTACGCCGGATGCCCTTCCTGACGCCCTTCCTGACGCAACCCTCCCCAGTTTTATCCGGGATTGGGACCGGCACTGGGAGTGCACTGTCGTGTGCGTTCCCTGGCCGGGAATCGAACCCGGGCCGGGGCGGGTCCAGAGCGCCGTGGCCTAACCACTAGTCCTCCATGGACCCACACCTGTCAAATTAATAGTGCATATTTTATATTGTTTGTACTGTATTTTTCTTATCTTGTATTTAAAAGTACACCTATAGCACTTTTCTCATTCCGATCATCCAGAGCTCTGATCTGACATAGAGTGGACTCTCTGTGTGCTTCTGCTGCCAGGTTATGTGAAACATCACAGGCACTCTGGCAACAAACACAGGTTGTGTCCTTGAGTCGAAATCACATGTTCGTGGATCAGCCTGGAAAAGGCTGATCTGATAATGATTCCAGTCCAGCGTTCACGTGGATAGTATCAGACTGGTGCGTTCGTGGTTTCATGTGATCGTGTTACATTAACGCTCACTTGCAAGCACAAAACATACCTGGCCTTGTAAGGAAGGGCATTGAAGAAGAAGCAGCCTCTAGTTGTGTCTAGATCATTGCGTACCTGTCAGCGTGTGCTTCAGTGAGTTCACGCACACACTCCTCATGCATTACTGTTTATCACTTCAGAAGTTGAAATTATGTTTCGTTACTGTTAAGTAGTTGAGGGTTTTTTTTTCTGGGGCCGCCGCTGTTTTACAGGATCCGTGACAGGACGTCAGTTGTTGGAAAGGATGCTATGATCTTGTTCAGGGTGAGCATGTCAGTATCAGACTAGTATCAGATATTGACTAACACTCAGCGCTTTTATATCTCTATCAAAGATAGAATGGGGACATCCTTCACATTCATTATTAACAAGCCAGCGTTTGAGGATGTGAAAACACTAAAATGTGTAGGAAGGGTGTAGTCCATGACTATGATTCAGAAGATTCTTTTGTGCTTCATCAAGAAGTTGAACTAAACCTACCGGTTATTGCACGATGTCACATAAGCTAAGCCTTTCTGACCTCTCAATCCTGCACTGAGAAATCTTGTACACTCAGCCATTTTTCAGGCATAATTATTCTTTAAATTTGCTCAGTAAAATTGCGGCTAGAGGAGTCTTCCGGATCAAGCATACACAGATTTCTCCTACACAGAAGCCTGCAGAATAAAATCTCACTTAACTGACGTCACTTTAACTCGACACTTCAGCGAGCATGTCCCAATCGGAGGACGCCAGGAAACCATGTCCTTACATTCAATTCCTGCATGTAAGTGAAACAAGGAAATACATTTAAAGACATGAGAAGCTTCTTGTGTATATAAGAATCCCATTTTTCCACTGGATATCCTGAATTTTGAAAACTCAGCCAGAACGCTGGTCAATCCAGCGGCTCACTAACTCAAACCAACATCTCCTGTTGTTTTATAAAATTGCACGTTTCCGTTTGCAATTATGATATTTCCGATGTGATGCGACGTGACGTGAAAGAATCAATCAGCATTTAGCTATTGTAGCTCTAGAACCTGTGGGAATCCCTCACCCATGCCACCTCTCAGGTGTTTATTACACTGTAGAAATGTGACTAATCAGTCCTGTGTGTGTGTGTGTGTGTGTTTACCCCACAGCATAAGCTGAAGTCATCACAGAAAGAGAAGGTTCGCCAGTTCATGTCCTTCACCCAGGCCGGCGAGAGGACAGCCGTCTACTGCCTCACACAGAATGACTGGAAACTAGAAGTGGCAACAGACAACTACTTCCAGAACCCAGATCTCTACTATAAAGAATCCATGAAAACCACAGTGGACCGCAAGAAGCTGGAGCAGCTTTATAACCGATACAAAGGTAAATCACTAGATCGTGTTGGCCCTCAGTTTGTTTTCTTCACGTCAGAATTACAGCCGATGAAGGATCAGAGGTTCTGCTTGGACCTCAAACTCAAAAATGAGTAGCTTCTTTGGAAACGTGTGGACTCCCTTAACGTCGTTAATCTGTTTGTAGATCTACATTTTGAGGTTACTGCCAGCCATCTGCAGGATGAACTCCTATACACTACTAGGTTTTAGCCTATTCGCATGTCAACGAAGTGTATCTGAATAAATGTATATGTGCATAATGAATAATGGGCATTTTGTAACTTCTCCCACAGACCCTCAGGATGAGAATAAAATCGGCATTGATGGGATCCAGCAGTTCTGCGATGACCTCACTCTGGATCCAGCCAGCATGAGCATTCTGGTGGTGGCCTGGAAGTTTCGGGCAGCAACGCAGTGTGAATTTAGCCGGAAAGAGTTCCTGGACGGCATGTCGGAGCTGGGGTAAGACTTTTAAAACATCACTCTCATCGTTACAGTGATGTCCGGTTCACAGTTTGATCTACATCTGCCTCTGTGTCTCCATAGCTGTGACAGTCCCGAGAAACTGAAGGCCATCTTGCCCAGGTTAGAACAGGAGCTCAAAGACCCTGCAAAGTTTAAGGATTTCTACCAGTTTACTTTCAATTTTGCCAAGAATCCAGGCCAGAAAGGCTTAGGTAAGTGTCACGCAAAGGACACACTCATCACATTTACAAGGCGATTTCACACAATCCATTTATTATCTCATGCCTGAAATATCCTTTCTCATGAGTCATGTACATTTTTAGCCTATAACATTCTAAATTATTGATTTAAAAAAAATTAATTGTAAGTAAATCATTAGAATGTTTTTAATATCCTGAAGAATGCTGGTTAACCATATTTTGTATAAATAAGGTATTTTTCTAATTCTATTCTATATTTAAAAAAAAAAAACAAAAAAAAACAACTCAACCACATTACTTTCACCCCGTTCTCATTTAAGAACAAAATGCAGCCAAAGAAACCCAAGACATGGTTTCCTGAGACGATTTAACACATTTCTGAATGGTTAATGCATGTTTTCTTAGATTCAATGTTGAAAATGATAAAAAATAAATAAATAAATAAATAATAATAAAGTTGAACATAAAAGGCTAAATGGCATCTCGGCCACCTTACACAGACTGAGTATTCATCTCACAAAGATCTGCGATACCTGTCTGTTATAAAATTAGCATTGCCAACGTAGGGACATATTAAATGTAGGGTTCATGATGCTTTTCTACCCAAGAGTGTGGCCTGACACGGTGCAATTACTACTCCAGATCCAGACCTCACTGTATGCTGGTCGAGAACCCGTGACATTTCTCTGGAGGTTGTGGGCTGGTGACATTTCCTGTACAACGCTCGGGTTAACACTGAACACTAACAGTAGTAACAGTGGAGGAGCTTCATGGTCTGATTAACCTTTTACTCAGCATTAAGTTTTACAAGAAGTATGGAAGTATGCCATTCGGGACGCTGCCTTGTGTTCGTTTTTTTTCCAAGAAATACATTTTTAATAAATTTTTAAAAATTAATCTCTGACAGTATGCACCATTTCCAGCTACATAGATCTGACTTTGGTCAGCATGTCTGGTACCTAGCAAGAAGTGTAACTAGACTAGGTTTGAGTAGTTCAGAAGTACTGTTAGACTTCAACTTAAAACTATAATGAATTCAGAAATGACTCTGATGCTCCTAAGCTCCTGGTTACACAGCTGCACTTTTTGATGATATAGTATACACTTATAGAAGGGAAATGATTTACAGTCTCACTGGATGAGGATGGGTTCCCTTTTGAGTCTGGTTCCTCTCAAGGTTTCTCCCTCATGTCGTCTCAGGGAGTTTTTCCTTGCCACCATCGTCTCTGGCTTGCTCATTAGGTATAAATTTAAAATTTATATCTGCAATTTATATATTTCTGTAAAGCTGCTTTGTGACAAGGTCCATTATTAAAAGCGCCATACAAATAAAATTGAATTGAATTGAATAGTACAGGTCACTTTGAAAGACCGTGAATTTGTGACTACACCATATGGCCCTTTCCAGTGGGAAAATTATTTCTTTATAGAAGCCTTTGGTGCCTCTCTCAGTTTTGGTGTTTCTCCAGAGATGGGTGTTCCCTGAACTGGGATTCTGGCTTTTTCCTGGCTTAGGCATAATGGTGCAGCTTTGCAGTTTGCAGAGACCCCAACCCCTTTATTAGTACTTCACAGTAGGCCATTGTCTGATCGATCACTCCCTGTAACTCAGTTACTTCTCTCTTAATCTTTTTCTCGTACTTCACTTTTGTCACCCTATCCTGAATGTTTCAAGACTTAGAGATGGCTGTAGCCTATTGGAACCTGGTTCTGACGGGCCGCTTCAAGTTTCTGGACCTCTGGAACACGTTCCTGCTGGCAAGTAGACAATAGCTCTCAAAGACACAGAGCAGATTCTAAGCATTTTGATAGCAAATGACAGAAATTTATGCTCAAGTATTACTAATAATATTCAAAAGAATGTACCTGATTGTACAAGCTGTGCACAAACTATCTTTAATCCTGCATACTCAAGAAAACAGCTATACAAAAAGGCATACAAGAGCACGGATATTAAGCTAAGCTATTAAGCTTTGCTGACATGACCGCTATTAATATTATTCTATTTTTTTCTATTCTTTGAAGGAGCATCACAAGCGGTCTATTCCAAAAGACACATGGAATCTTCTTTTAGACTTTGGAAACATGATTGCAGACGATATGTCGAACTATGATGAAGAAGGTGAGCTAGGCCATTTATCTACACAGAAAGACTTGTTTACAGAACGAATTCAAGTAAAGCACATCTATCAAGAAGTAGTTCAGTCAAAAGTGGGGCTTCGACTGTTATCCCCTTTACTACAGTCGACTTTTCCCAATCAATGGGTAAAGATGGTTTAAAGATGGTTATGTAAAAATGTCTGTGTGGTTAATTAGCTTAAACTCAAGTTTAGATCAGTTTCCAACTCAAGAAAATCTGAGAGACATATAACCGTAAATCTACTCTAAGAAAAAATAGACCAAAAAAACCGTGTCGGTTATTGACACTGCTACATTTAGTAGTTTGTGCCAAAATAACAGCACCAAGTGTTGTTCTGTAATGTTTGATGAGATTGGAGAATGCAGAGCAAGAACCCTGAGGTCACTCCTCAATACACCACTCCAGATCCTCCATTTTGTGTGGATTCGGATGTACAGCCCCCTCCGAAAGTATTGGAACGTATTGTATTTTTTTTGCTATACACTGAAGACAT